TACTTGTTTTAGAATCGGAAAAGCGATTTTATAAATGATTACTTTTTCCTGTCGTCAAAAGAGACGATTTCCGGCTACATCAAAGTTATATGTATTCCACAAAAGTCAGTCGTTGTTTATTAAGAACACAATGGAGTTAATTCACATTTTCTTAACTTTTAGCGTTGGTTGTTTTTCTGTAATGCTGGCGACTGGTGAGTAATTTCAAAGTATATTTACTATGTTGAATTTTGCAGAGGTTCCAAAGATGCAATACAAGGGATAGCAATTGGTACTTTAAATGATAAAGTGTTGATATATATGAAAGCTGTGGGCTACTTGTAACATACTCAAATTTGACAGCATTGTTTCAATAATACTCTGAAAAGAACGAAAAACAGAACTGCTTTCAAAAAGTTGATATAATGAATTCACTAGTTTATTCATCTTGGATTCCTCCACGTTGTTTTACGGTCAACGATTAGGTTTTTTTAAAAATCCGACACGAGATATATTGAGGGACTTACAAAAAGTTAATATAAAAATAAGAATATGTGGTATGATTGTCAATGAGACAATCCACCACCAGAGACCAGATGACGTAGAAGTTTACAGCATAGATATGGAAATAAAAAATCATGTAGCATGTTCTCAAGTGGTCTTCAACATATTTGAATACTCGGTTCACGAAAGAATTGCATTTGGACCAACAACAAAAAAGGGAGAAACACGTTAGACCAAACCAATTTTGACATGTTTGATTACATGTCTCTTGGCAATTTTTGTCGCTGGGATGCTGTCTCATTGGCATATACCCGCCACCTCCCGTTTTATCATCAATCAAAACCTTAGCTACATTCCATAAACTGTTAAGTTATATCAACAACGAAACTCATTAAACATTACGAGTCTCGATTTGCGATCACACAAAATATCAATTTAAATTTTGTCACCTCAACGACTGGATTCATATGATACTTAATTGAATGATATTTCCAGAAGGTAAATTTTTTAAGCATGAATTTTTAGTGTCTTAAGGCAAATCTGATCGATTGAGTCTTCAACATGTTTAGTGTGACGTCATTGTTTTTTGTGCAAATATTAATCAAGTCAAGAGGACTATAAGGATTTTTACTGAGCAAGATATGAGGTAATCCTATAGCATAAAGCCCTGGGGCTATATTTTCTTTTTTTTTGGAAAGAGGGGGATAGTTATATGATATTTTTGTTTTACTTTTTTCCCTTTGGTTATTTTATGTTTGAAGTTTTCCTATCAGTGTGCTGGCCTGAAAAGCCCCCAAAATAGAGCATAAAAATATCAGCATGAAAATGTAAGGAACAAAGTTATGAAGAAAATTGATCTAAATTATTCATATTGTACGGATAATTATGATTTTCGTATTTTTTTTGTTATGAGCCACAACAATTAAATTTGTACTTAGAAATCAGCTTCGGACGCCAAATTAACAGTGACAAAAAAAATGAAAAAAAAAATAAAATGCTAGTCTTCATTTTCATTACTTTTTTTTGTCTGACGGTGTTTGGTATATCCTACAGAAAAGTTATCTGTATCATAAAAGTAAAATTATTTTAGAGAAAAGCCATTTGATTATGGTGAAAAAGGGGACAAATAAGTAATAAGTATCACGTTTTGGATGATCAGAAGCCCCCTCTCAGAATTAAATGGTCGTCCCCTAAATGGTTTAGTAATTGCAACAACATACATGGGTGCCCATATCGAAGCTGTTAAAAACCTTATCTTAATATAAAAATAAGGAGACGTGGTATGATTGTCAATGAGACAACTATCCACCATAGTTCAAATGAAGTGTATAATTATAAGCAATTATAGGCAACAGTACGGCCTTCAACAATGAGGAAAAAACCCATACCGTATAGTCGGCTATAAAAGGCCCCGACATGAAAAATATGAAACATTTAAATTGAGAAAACTAACGGCCTAATTTATAACAAAACAATTTACGAAAAACTTATATAATAGACATGAATCAACGACAACCACTGAACTACAGGCTCCTGGCGGGGTTAAACTAGTTTGTTTGCCCCCCCCCCCCTAAACCTGGGACAGCAGTGTTACAGTACAACATGAACAAACTATAAAAACCAGTTGAAAATGGCTTAACTCGTCAGATAGATACAAACAGAAAACATCTAACGAAAACACAGACCAGACAAGGCAGCGTATCTATACAACTAACAACAAAAAAAGACACTAAGTAAAGATTTGAGAGTACTCGCAGTTACTGACAGCTAGTTCAAAGCCAATTTTAATACCAACCAATAAAAAAATCATGTATCTAAGACTAAAAAATCAATCAGTACACATCCAACATCCAATGGATTTAGTATAAAGACGTCAGTAACAGTCAGAGAAAAACATGACCTTGTGGAATGCAAAAAAATAGGTATTGACAGCTTGGCGTACCGTTAATGTACATATGTGTATAACAATAATATTTAGTATAGTTTTAACTTACTGATAACAAAATCAATATTAATACTACTCCGAGATTACTCTGACGTCCAAGGGCTGTTTTGCCAGACAAGCTGGGGCCGTGGGACATCAGAGCTCGTCCCATATCAAAAAGTTGGTATATCATTTGAAATTTTAATGATATATGATTTGTAATATGACCAATGAAAATGCTATATCATACAGTGTAAATATGTGAATGATTAAGGTGTGGATAAAGTGACGTTATTTTTTCCCGCTAAAATACTGCACGAACTGTCGTCTGCCGGCAAATCTTAAAATGTCGGAGGGAAAGCTGGATTTTTTAGGTGACGATGAAGAAATTTTGTCCTCTCACAAATATTAGAAGAGGACGTCAATAACTTAGCACTTTCAAAGTTTTGAAGGGAAATGGAGGACGATATGTCACTTTCGCAGATTGTAACTGGGGTGCCATCATTGAGTTTCATATGATGAACGCTGAAAGTATGAGCTATTAGCTTAAAAGGTTTGTTATGGAGACGAGGAAACAAAACGGAGACGAGTACCCGCCTAAATCTTTATACTACATTGTGTGTGGTTTCCTAAGACATTGCAGAGACATGAATGTCCACGCTAACGCTAACATTCAGAAACAGGTCTCAGATGTCTTGAACCCCCTGTCCGATCGTAATAATGTATAGCAGTATTAAAGATCATTAAAAGTGAAAATGTTGTAGCCGAACCGTTTCAAAGGAGTAAAAAACATTGTCTGGGTGACATCACATGTATGAATGGGTCTGGACCAGGGAGTTCCGTTACATTCTCAAATTGTCACTTTAATTTCAATTGAATTAATGTTGCCGTGTTATTAATTTTAAATTTGTTTTATTTAATGTGAAGCTTAAGGGTGGGCTTTTTATATATTTTTCTCTTGTATTAATTACAGTTTTTAAAATTTCATTTTATTCAGCTTTGACTACTTTTTCAAAGATGTTCCCTGTGAGGTTCTACACAAGAGTTTAATTTAAGTGCAGATTCTTAAAAAAAAACACAATTATTTTATTTTCAAGTAAAAGTAGGAATACCGAAGTTTAAAATTGGTGAAATCCCATGACAAAGAACATAAAAAAGATGAGTGTCAAATAACAAAAATAACAAAAAAAAAAAAAACCCTAAACAATACATACAGAAACAAGTGAAGAAACAGTTGGAAGTTTTTTGGTATATACTTGTATATAAGAGATGGAGCTTTCCTGTGCATTTTCAGTGTAGTTAATGCACTGCTTTTGGCTCCTCCTACCAATGGTTTCCGTATGTGAGATTGTTGATTAATCCTCAGACAGTGCAATAACGTTCAAATCGGGAAGTTAATGCACTCCTTTCCAAAATATCAGATTTTAAAGCACACGAAAGTTCAAAGATATTAGTAAAATTAATTTAATTTATAAGGCCCAGTGTATATTATTGGTATACATATTCAAAGAACGTCTTACCATACAATAACCTTAAATCAAAAATCGAAAATCAAAAATGACTATAATAAAGATTGATTTAAAAGTAAAATAGAAAAATATAAAACCTTCACTTGAAGCCAATCCTTACTTATTGTTTAATGATTTTTCTATCAGGAATATTTTAACATAAACTTCGCATAAGTGACCATGGTCAAGAAATACAAAAAAGCTCGTTACATTAGAATTCCTCGAGAACAAACACTGTGCAAAACCTAAAAATTCTGAATTGCAAGGTAAACCAGAATATCAGACAAAATATATTTACTAGATAGTGAACACTTCATTTATTTCCACGATGAACAAAAAATATTCTATATGTTAATCCCTGCTTCCTTTAATAGATATGTTAGAATTATTAGCTTCTTGTTTAAAAGGTCAATAGAACTGAGGTCAGAAGTGTCATTGTAACATGGCTATTAAATATTGTAAAATTGTACATCTGTCACTTTTGTTTTTTTTCCTGCTTTGTTGTTACTTTGTTGTTTGTTGTTTGTTGTTTATTGTTTTTTTTTATGTTTATTGGAAATTCGTTTTTTTTATTTTTAGATGTCATACATTAAAATTATGAAAATTCTCATTTTCACAAAAATTGATGTTTATGACTTTAAAAACGTTGTGTTAATATTCTGAAATATTTTAATCACTTTTAAAAAAAGTAAGGTGCAATACCAAATTTTACTCCAAAGAAAAATGGCGGCGGTGCGTTTCTATTGTTGTTGAGTACAGTTACATGATGACACAAATTTCTACACGCATTTGATAAAATTCAGAAGCAACTATCAATGTCAAAGTGTGGTTTTAAATATTGCAAACGAAAAAGCTCTCATCTCAGTGAAGGTTCATGATGACCTTTTAACACCTGTTTAAATGGAGTTCTTTGAAGAGCACGCTACAATTGTATACATATGCGCGATAATATCAGGTATATTTATATCACATTTCTTTTGTCAAAAGAATATTTATTATATGTTTTATAAAATGTCTTATCTGTATGAATGCTTGAACTACAGTCCTATTTTTGGTATTTTTCATTGGATTTCAGGTAAGCCAGATCCAGATCCACCAAAAGATGTCAGAATATATGTTATTGGTAGTACAGCTAAAATATCATGGACAATTCCTACCAATATTGAAGGGGCAACTTGGACTCGGATTTATATTAAAGATTCCACAGGAGCCGAAATATATGTGAAAGGATCATCTAAATATAACATTTATAAAGATATACCACTTCCAGAAACAAGCTTTGAGATCGCCAACTTGAAGTTGTGTTCAGAATATTCTGTCAAACTACAATTTTTTAGTCCGTTTTCAGAAATCACCACACGAAAGTTTTGGATGACAAGTGAGTTCCTATTTCCTTAAATATAACATAATTATTGCTGTTTTCTATGAAATAGTACGATGATACACTATTTTCTTCTTCATTTTTATTTATTTTTGGGGGGGGGGGGTGGCGTGGTTATGTTATCGAGACTGTAACAGTCTCCGGGACAAGTTTGCACTTCCGCTGAGTGCAAAAGTTGTCACCTTAATTTTTGGAGTTAAGTCAAAATGAAGTTGATAACTTGGTTGGTATTGGTTCCCTGATATTTGTCCTAAAAAAATTTGGCTCTAGCACCACTGTTGAAAAAGTTATGCCCCTTTTTTCAACAATTTCCTCAGAGGAAAAGTAGTTTTCCTCAAGGGAAATCAAATTTCCCTAAAGGAAAAAGATTTTTCCTTAAGGGAAATTGTATTTTCCTCAAGGGAAAAAGATTTCCCTTAGGGAATTTGCTGCATTAATATTTCCTTTGAGGAAATTCTATTTCCTGTGAGGAAATTTGCGGCTTCAAATTTTCCTTTGAGGAAATTTTATTTCCTCTGAGGAAATTTGAGGCTTCAAATTTTCCTCTGAGGAAATTTGCAGCTTCAAATTTTCCTTGGAGGAAATACTTTTTCCTGTGAGGAAATTTTGTCAACTGCAATTTCCTTTGAGGAAATATTTAACAAACACTTTTCCTTGAGGGAAAATTCAATACCACAAATTTCCTCTAAGGAAAACATTGTTCTCCAAATTTCCTCAAAGGAAATTTCTGTACATCAACTTTCCCTGTAGGAAATGCTTTCCCCTATTTTTACTCATTGTAAATTTCTTCACTATACAAACAGTATGAACATAATGTTTACAAGACTTAATAAATGATACAAATGATATTTAAACTTTAATAAATTTTTGACTCAAAATTATCATGACATACAAAATCAATATAGTGAGTCTGACTGTTTAGGTCAAGGTATTGTACATACTTTATATGACTTTAACTTTGATTTTTAAAATATTTCTTGTAGCAAAGTATTCTGTTTTCTTTGTAATTGTTTCAATTGTATACATTAATAGGCAACCAATTTGAATGTCATACCATTTGTGGAGTTCTTAAGAATGCGTTCATATTTGCAAATTAAATAATAAAATAAACACTTTTCTTGTAAATTTTAATTTTCCTCTGTTTCAGCTGCTGTGTACAGTTATTCAATTCACTACGTAAAAGTTCATAACATAAATTATTCCATTCACTAAACAATTTCCTTCAATTCTTAGAGAAAACATTTTTGCAATTTGTTCTTCGAAGATCTTCTTCAGTATATTTGATATGAGGGAGAGATGTAAATGAGTGGATAAAGCTGGTGTTCCTTTCAACAACAAAATACTATTTTTTTCTTCATTTCTCCCTTCTTTCGACGAATATATATAATATGTTGTTGCATTTATACAATTGTGTTTTTCTGCATCTATGATAGAACTCCATTTTGTTTATAGCCATTATCATGCGATTATGATGAAATTTCCTATTTCTTTTTTGAAGGAAAGCACACATTCCATTTCACATTAATCCAATTAGCGCACCATGTAGATAGATATCAACTTTCAGTTTCCTCTTCAGTATTGACCTATTGATCATAAAAACCAAGATGTCTGATCACCTATAAATACACAAAATAAACAAATAAAATGTTATAAATGGAGAGAGAAACAGCAATAAAAAAGCTTATTTTGTCATGTTTATGAACATTTTAAGAATATTTCCTTTCTTACTTGCATGACTTGTGAGTTCTCTTAATTCTGTGCTTTTTGTCTATGGGTTTTTTTATTAGTTGATTTTGTGCATTTTATCAATCTTTCGAGTTGAGGCAATTGCAACGGTTATTTTTACAGTTTGTTCTTTATATGTTGAGCTGTTAAACCACTGTCCAAGGTTAAGGTAGGGTTGAGTGCTCACAAACCTGATTTTTTTATTACATGTATTAGTTTTTATTGATTTTTAACTAGCTGTCAGTAGCTGTGAGTACTAACAGATCTTTGTGTCTTTTCGATTAAGAGAAAGGTATAAATTTCCTGCTTAGTCCGGACTGTTTTTTTTTTTGCAGGAAATCTACCGGTATGTCATTTGTTGTCTGTTGAAGAGTTGTCTTATTGGCAATCATGCCACATCTTCTTATTTTTATATAACCTTGCCATATTCTGATTGTGCCTGTCCCAAGTTCGGAGCCTGTAGTTTATTCTGACACTCAAATTTAGTGGTTGTAGTTGTTTCATATCTGTCATATTTATTTTTTTTTAATTTGTTTTGTTATAAACTAGGCAATTAGTTCTACAGTTGGGATTATTTCAATTTTTCGTCTGAGGGCCTTTTATAGCTGACTACTTTGACAATAGGGTATGGACTTTCTCATTATTGAAGGCCGTCACTGGCCTATAATTGCTTTCTTAGAGCCATGATCAATAGTTTTCATATTTAATATGCCACATCTTTTTATTTTTATAATAATCATGATAATCATCTTTCAAGGGCAATAACTTTTATAAAAGTGGCCTTATGAGTCTTATCCAGCATCACTGATGAGTGTTTTGTAGACGAAACGCGTGTCTGGCGTAAATACAAAATTTAATCCTGGTATCTATGATGAGTTTACTTACCATTTAGGTTTTGTTGACTTCTGCAAATTTTAAATTGCCTATCATTTCTGCTGTTTATAATTTCTCTGCATCTTCTATAGTTCTTGTCCTACACATAAAAAGAGTAAAAATTATTATTCAATGACATCTTGCATCAATAATTATTTTGCTGTTTAATGTATATATCAATACGTGTTTAATAAAAAGCTGTACCATGAGTGCTTGATAAGCTTGTTGCCCTTTTAGCTTGGGTTTATGGTTTAAATGAATTTTAATGATCAACTACATTATAGAAAAACTCTGAGCACTGCGCAACTAAGACCCCCCCCCCCCCCCCCCCACCTACAAAAAACAAAACTACAGGCTCTAAAGAGCCTGTGTCGCTCACCTGACTCTATTTGGGTTTTTGAAATCATATAAAAAAGATAAAAATCATAACAGATACTTTAATAATGATTGAGGGCATATTTGGTTTAATATTGTCCTACTCCGCTGGCGGCCGTCTTGGATGATGCATCAGCTACAGAGTAACAACACTTGGTCAACACCTCATAAGGAACATTCATGCTATGTTTGGTTTCATTCCATTCAGTGGTTCTCTAAATGAAGACATTTGTATGTATTTCCTATAGGGTCCTATCTTAAACTAAGTCCCCCGCTGCTGGCCATCTTGGATGATGGATCGGCAACAAAGTAACAACTCTTGGTCAGCACCTCATAAGGAATTCAGTGGTTCTCTAGAAGTTCAAAATGTAAAAAGTTAACAACGGCAACGGACGACGACGGACGCCAAGTGATGAGAAAAGCTCACTTGGCCTTTCGAGCCAGATGAGCTAAAAAAGGACAAGCACACAGAGTGGTATTCATTGAAACAAAACATGAAAATAATTTGGCTCCATTTTAAGGGATATTGCAAGTGTATATACATTTTGTAAGTTTAAGGCCGTGATTTTTGAACAAATACAATTCTAAAACCTTCCAAAGTGTGAAAATGGACAATTTTAAACAATTTTCCAACAACTAAAATTCCATAACTCTGCATCTTATATAAAAATAAATAGGGGATGATACTCCGGCTTGCATATCATATAAAGTTATAAAGGAAGATAACTGAGGAACGGTAAAATTTATACTACTAAAATTATAACTTGATCTGATTTTGTGGTAAAAAGTATTGCGTTAAAGTTTAATAAAATTTGGTTGAGGCAAACTTAATTTAGAGGACGGAAACTTAAAATTCATCATTTTTTCCATCTGTAAAGGACATAACTCTAGAACAGACTGAGTCAGTAAAAGTGACACCACCAAAATTCAAACTGTTTTTTGTGGTAATAACCATTGTGTGCAAGTTTCATAACATTTGGTTGAGGCAAACTAAAGTTAAATATAGAGAGCCGGAAACCAAAAATTCAGCAATTTTTCCATTTGTGAAGGGGCATAACTCTAGAACGGTAACACTGACACCACCAAAATTCACACTTGATCTGAGTATTGTGGTAATAAGCTTTTGTAAAAGTTTTATAACATTTGGTTGAGGCAAACTAAATTAGAGAACAAAAACCAATGACTTTGGGACAGACGGACAGACGGTCAAGGGTTGACCCACTATCACATGACCATGGGTCATAAAAATGTAAAGGGAGTTTATGTCAATATATAAAATCAATTCACCAAAGTTTCATAAAAATTGGTGAAAGCATTCTTGAGACTATCCAAAGTCTCAATATACAATAAAAACTTAAATCAGATTTTTTTTTTTAAATTGAAAGGGAAATTATCATGATTATGTTAATTGGCAATATTAATAAATGCATGCAACAATTTCTGAAATTTACAGTATATAGGCTTTTAACCCCACCATATTTTTGCACCTGTCCCAAGTCAGGAGCCTATATGTGGCATTTGTCAGTTTTGTATGATTTTTAATTTTAGTTTCTTTTATATATTTCGGAGTTTAGTATGACGTCCATTATCACTGAACTAGTACACATTTTTGTTAAGGAGCCAGCTGAAGCACGCCTCAGGCTGTGGGATTTTCTCGCTGCATTGAAGTCACATTGGTGACCGACTGTTATCTGCTCTTTGGGCAGGTTGTTGTCTCTCTGACACATTCCCCATTTCTATTTTCAATTCTATTTTAAATTCAATTATAAATGTTAGGCTTCTTGTTGATTTGTTTTACATTTGTCATTTCGAGGCCTTTTATTATATTTACAGCTTTCTATATGCATAGGTGCTTGAGGACAGGATCCTGTTTTGAGCCCCCCCCCCCCCCCCCCCTTATTATCATAAATCTTAAATTTTTCAATATATATCACTTATTTGTACCATATACATACTAATATACCATATTTTTACTCTTAATATGCATGTTTACTATCAACATGAATCTCGACTCCTTACGGTCCTCAAGCACTTATGTCTATATGGTGTGAATTTTGCTCATTGTTGATGGTCGTACGGTTATCTATAGCTCAGCGAAGCAACATCACAACTGTTTCCAAGTTTGTGAAGTCAGAGGACTATATTCATCTTTCCGACTTTCAGATCATTTGTTTATTTTTCATGAATATGTGCCATTCCAATATGAAATAGCTAAATCATGTATATATTAAAAAAAAACTTTAAACTAGGATACTCATTTGGGGAACTAATGATTTGTTGGTTTTTCCCTAGTCCAAATAATTATGACGTCTGGCAAGGCTATTTTTTTTTCTGGGACGCCTAAATAGCCTTGCAAGACGTCATAATTATTTGGACTAGGTTTTCCCCACCATCGACATCGTCCTGTGGACGAAACGAGTTTGGCGCATTAACAAAAAGATCATGTCTGTAGTGACAAGTTAGTGTGTGTGCTTACCAATATTTGAATTTTATGAGCCTTCTTTTTGAATATTTTTTTCATTTTTTGGTACAATACTGACGTCGAGAGCTGTTGTTGTTGTGCTGTTTATTTTTTACAAAAGCGATCAAGTAATGCAGGGGAAGGAAACTTACTTAAAAGACCAAAATGAGTCGCAACTGTAATGGTACATAAATATTTTACTATGCAGTCAGTATCCTGATATACATGTATATACTCTTAGACTCATTTCACAGAAAAATCGTACAAGTGAAAATACTCGTTTGTCATGAACATTTTAGATCACTTAAAATTTAGATTTTATAACTTAAATTACGAAAGATGATAATTTGTCAAATAAGCCCTTGTAACCAGGTGCTGCATTTTTTAGCACGTGTCAAAAAACAGTTAAAAGTGCCGGTATCTGACAGAGCTTTCAAGAGTTATTTCTCTTACTGTGAGTTCATTATATATTTATCACAAAAAGCTAATGCTAAATTCTTTTCATTTAATATGGGTCTATATGAAGCCCCACCCCTCCTCCAGCTTATCTGATTAATTTACGATCACTCTGAGTAAAGAAAGTAAGTCACAATTGCTTATATAAGGTATTTTAAATTCTGGTTGATAGTTGTCTCATCACCAATCATACTACATCTACTTATTTTTTTTTACAATAAAGCTATATTTAGATGCGGTATAGTGAGTGATGAATGTGTAAACATGCAGCATGCTTGTAAATAATTGTTAAAATACAGCACAAAAGATGCATAATATATCAAACTCGAATCAACGCCATGTCAAAAACTAAAAAAACAACAACAACAAAAAACGACCAAATGACAAATAGTCTATAAAAACAACTATAGCATACCAAAATATATAATTTGTAAAGACTTGCATGCAACTAGGCCTATACAGTAGCTCTATGTTCTTATAGATCTCATAACATTACGATTAAAAGTCAGATTATGTGTGTGTAAGTTTATTAGAAAATTCAACGAGACACGTCCTAATCAGGTAAAATCTATCCAAAATAACAATTTACAAATTCAGATCTACTGCCTGTTGTATATTGCTTACATGATTGTATATTGCCAAACGAATAATTTATGTCTGGTACAGGATGGCGGCTTCGAAGCGGAGACAAAAAGACCCAGATAAATGAAAGTGTAGAATTTTTGTTGTGGAGAATTTTTTTTTAAAGAACTAGATTCATATCTCAGAATTTGAATATAGCATCTCGTTTTCTTTAGATAAATTGTTAGCTATTACTGACTATAATAATTACCCCCTTATAAGTATTCGCAAAACATGAAGTTAATGATCAATGAATATGAAAACATTTTATAAAGTATAAATATTGGTAAACGGACAGCAAGTCATAGAACTATTATAGTTCGAATAAATTAGTTTACAATAACTGTTGAAAGGTTATGAGAGAAAAATCTGGATGAATTTATTTTTATTAGAATGATTTATTTTACAGTAAAGGCTTCATATTTTTAATCGCCGCGATATAGCCTTGTTGTGCTAATGCGGCGTAAAGCAACCAACAATCAATCAATCATATTTTTAATCAGTTATTTGTAAAAGAAAGGTGACATGTTTAACACCATGGAGCCAGTAAATTAACAAACTACTATGATGGATTTTTTTCTTTACAATCATTGATCATTATTATATTTGAGAATAACTTGTGTTTACAATTCGTTTTCATAAATAATGGTTCAAGAAAAAAACTTTTTGAAAATTAGTCTGTTAGTTTCCAAAGAAAAAAATATCTTAAAAACTGAACTGTGAGTTTTCAATCGTTAAGTTTTGTTATACTTTTTTAGTGTTAATCTCAGCAAAGACAAATTTGGTGATAAAAATCGATTTGTTGGTCTTTAAAAAAAAAACATACGTCATAATGTAATCTTCATCTGGAGATATTCATTCCCTACTGTAAAATATTGAGTTTTTGGTTGATTAATGTCGGGTGTGTCTGACGTACCGAATAATATATGATAGGTACATGTAGGTCTTGTAATTGAGACCGCCCGTGATACGGTCGGAAAATTTCGACTGCCAACGAAAAAGGATGGAGAGAAAATTGGCCTAATACCAGGCTACTTATAGTCCACTTGAAGAGTTGTTGCAAGGATTCAGCGTCCCCATTCGGACGTGTCTGAGCACAACCCAATGGACGTTCCACTATCATTACTGCTAAGGATTTATTGCCGGTCAGAAGAAGACCTGTAACGACGCTATTTCTATAGTTACTCTAGTTCGCTAACGACTTCGCTTCTTGTTCCATTGAATATAAAGGAAAGAGTTATCTAATATATATGTAAATATATATACACGTCTAAATTGAAAACAACGTTCAAACCTATGATTGCGTTGGATAAAAACCGCAATGTTTATACGTGTGCATGTAAAACAAATTTCTTGGTAGAGGGGTCTAAATACAGCACAAACAACATTTTCCAAAAGACCAAAAAGTGAAAAAGTATATTTTAACAAAACGCATTTGACTAACAGGTCGACAACTGATGTTCTTAAACCCTGCTGACTGCCATTGGCTATTGCCAAATAAATTGATCACCAGATGTAAAAAATGGATCTTACATATTAATTAAATACCAAACAGAAAACAATAAACTTACGGAAAAGATGGTATACCGCAAACATGAGGTGCAAACATTTGTACACCATATCCGGATTTCGACATTTAATGTCTCTTCAGTGATGTTAGGGATCGAAACGGTATTTGGAAGGCCATATAATATATATAGGGAAAAAAAATAAGACTGAAAATGCACCAAATATTTATATTCAATATAAATATTCACATTTTGTCTATTACAACAACAAGTTGTTCAAAAATTGTTGTAATAGACAAAATGTGAATATCCATATTGAATATAAATATTTGGTGCATTTTCAGCCTTATTTTTTTTCCCTATTTTATGCACAACATAGACAAAATTTAAAACTTTTTAATATATATATATATTTTTCTTGAACTACTATAAATAAAGTAGTTCATTTTAAAATGTATTCTTTAAAGGTTAAGAAAACAATAAGTTAAAATGGCTGGTACATACATGGCTTCATGGCTAATACCAAAAAGGTATAGCCAATTTCCCGTTTATTTTTTTTCGTTGTTTGGTTCAAATGTTCAAATTTAATAAATTGATGAATTTAATAATTTATTGATATCCTAAATCTTTGTTAATATATTTACTTCGGTAGAAAAGAAAGTGAATCTTCTCATCGGGACTTTAATTAATCTTCATATCTATTATATATTTTGGGATTGAAAAAAATATCTTTAACAAATGCGGTTTCGAGCCTATTTCTTCATTTTAATTTGGTTACACGTTCAGCAATAACTGATACAAATATGATATATTACCAATGATAAGGCCATATATTTGAAGCTGTTCAAAATTTTGTACATTATAGCTGGGACTATTATACTAAAAAATAGTTAGTATAATAGTCCCAGATTATAGGTACGTGTATCAGATTGGACATTTTTTTTTATTGTTCTATATAAATAATCTTACTATAAGTTATCTCAGGTCTAAACAAAATGTTACTATGAGTTTTCTAATGAGTTTTGTTTGATAATTTTTTGTTTAATTCAGTTAAAAGTTTGTTTTTTTTTACACGAGAAGGTCTGCTAAAAAGTTTATGATGATCTCTTTTTTATTCAGCATAACAAACGGATACTCTTTAATGTACACTAGGTGGACTTTCCTCTATTCCGATGAAGGCAGTGCACGTCTTTCATTTAAAAGATTCAATCGTTGTTTTGCAACAGACGGCGGCACATCGGGCATTGACTTACCATTTTATAATTTGTAACAATTATGATTAACCATATATTTATAAGTTATAACAAAATTATTTTTTATACATCTTTATTTAAGATGATCGAGATTTGAGAATGATATGAAAATAATAAAATATATATTACAAAAAAAAAAAGTTATCTCAGGTCTAGTTATCTAGTATAAAATATATTCACTGGAAATAAGCCCTTTAAAACACAAATCCCCGTTTACTCATTGCGAAGTTTATTTGCTAGTGTTTTTTTAATCTTTTTTTTAATGATTTTATTATATTATCTTTTTTGTGAAAATTTTGAGTGGTTGAACATGAAATGGACACCGATGCTACAAAGAAAATTTGTTTAATGTCATCTGTTGCAATATAACTAAGTATTACACGTGGACAGGATGTTCCCCAGAAAATTAAGGTATTCAAAATAAGTTATACACACCCCAAGGGTACACGCCACTGTCATATGGAAAATTACTGGGTCACCAGTAAACTGGTAATCAGCCATGCAACTAATCAGTTGACTGACCATGCCACTACAATTTAAAAAGTTTGTCGTTAGATCAAAATGAAATATTTATTTTAATTTAAAATTGAAGAACTAAAAGGATTTATCATAATTATGAAAGGAAATAATTCAACAAAATCGGATTATTTCCCAAAAGATTATATATTTTTAAAATTTTTTCCGGGGAAAATAGAAAACTGTATCAGAGACATATATATATAAAGGGTCCCATCAAGGATTTTATAGAAATCCTTGGTCTCATGAAATGGATCTCACACAGACATGCATAATTGAAATTTAAACATTGATTGATTCTATGATTTCTTGAGAAATCAGGAGCGAAATATAACAAATATTTAGTTTTGATATTAAATTAAATTTACTTTTCCTCGCTATAATTCATTTGACATAACATTGAGGGATTTAAGGGTTTGTCCGTACAACGTTAGTATTTCACATGACTTATTTTCGCGCTTCGCCTTGAAGCTCATTATTCAGACTGTTTCAGACAAGATGATGAAAATAACATGCAAGGCACTTTTTTTTCGATCATCGTGAAGTGCACTCCCCCCCCTCTTCAAGAATTGTATATTTATAAATCCTCGTCCTTTTTAAAATTACCACACTCTTTGTGATTACCGTTATGCTATTATGCTAACAGTAATTAACCCGGGACTTGATTTACATGTAATATCAGGGGCGATTCTAGCCAGGATAAAGGGGGTCTTAATACATAGGCAGATCCAGGGGGGCCTGGGCCCCCCCTTTGGTGGGAAAATTTTGGTTGATTATATAGTGAATCACTGAAGCATGACTCCCCTTTGATCAGTCAGCGCCCCCTCCCCCCCCTCCCCCCCCCCCCCTTACAAAAAGTTCTGGATCCGCCACTGAAATATATGTCTCCATTAAATCAGAGACATATTGATTAAATGCAATGATCGTTCACAAAAAGGGGAATCAAACCCCCGGATCCCATCCCCCTTCGATCCGCCACTGATTGTGAATATAAATATAATTGTTACTTAAAAGTCATAGACTAGTACTAGCTCCAAGCACCTGTTTTGGGATATATACAGCTAATTAACCGTAAATAACTGCGAGATAATGAATAACAAGTTGATAATTGTCTATTCTCTGCTAATTAATGTACCTGCAATTCACCCTGATTCATTTGTGAGACCACCGACACTAATAATATTACCTCAAAGTTAGAGGTTCTCCGTTACTGGGAACTTCATATCGGATCCGATCAATTTATTGGTTCCATTCCCCCTAGTAATAATGATCCATTTGCAGTGACGATGACAATCAAAGGTATACTCATTACTGTTGATTTTGCATGATAACATACATGTTATGTCAACTCACTTCTCCTTCCTACGGCGTCAGAGAGAGAAAAAAAAGCCTTGCAATGCGTCATAATTATTTGGACTACTTCCATATGACTTTAAAAAAAACCAAACAATAGTTTATTTCACTGATTGAGATTGGACTGACGAGACATTTCAGCATGTGAAATCTTAATTGTTAGTCCAAGTACACAGTTATCATCCATTGATTTCCATTTTTTACAAAAAGATTTCCTAGTGTGGACCATGTATTACTTTAAAATTTATTTATTTATATTTTTTATGCATAAAAAGTAAGTACAATGAAGTAGGGGGATGAAATTATTTTATTTTAGTTTGAGAATCACTCATACTTCTTTTATGATGTCACCTTAGCCTACAAATTACCAAAAAGAAACACTTTTTTATTTCCTCTAGCTTATGTGTATGCCTTTTCATATACATGTAAAAATGTGTTACTGCCTATATATTGACCTTAAATGTTATTCAGTCTTCCATGGCCTAATGGGACCTTGTTCTACTCATGTGGTATGCTATAAGCAGATAAGTAATTTTTTTCCTTTTGAAATACAAATAATTTTTTAAATATACATAAAGAATTTTTATATTAGCCGCTCCACCCCCCCCCCCCCCCCCCCCCCCCCCCCCCCCCCCCCACCCCCCTTAATTTTGAAATCTCTAATTTTAGATTTTAGGCATAGGCTCATATAAATTTGACTTTAAACGGCAAAAAATTAACACCCAAAGTTCAAACTTATAGTCTTTAATGTATATATGCTATTGCCATGAAACTAGGTAAACTGTCTTATAATTCTCTAATCTTAGTTCATGCCAAGTTTGATTAAAATTAGTATTTCTACTCTATTAATTCTCTAGTGTGGATATAGTGTATAACTTGCAAATTATTTTCATACTCCTTCCAAATTTATTGCGGATGAATAACATTTTTACCAGATATTCGGAATCCTCTGGTTTTATCCATGCAGTGCCATTAAAAAATTTTGCCCGCAAACCCCTACTTTTCTTTTCATATTTTTATTACATAGTTTAAAAAGCCATATTTGAAAATCTTATAAAATCCATGTTATTTTTCCATAGCTTTTGAAAGAAAAAGGTGCCAGTGTTAAGTGTATGAAAAATCTAGAGAGAATCACTTCCCGCCAAATTTTTAATGACTTATATCTTAAAAACAAGCACACGGACCCTTCATTTTTTCTGTTTTTTTAGTTCCTTTATTCATATTCTTTTAAAAAGCTTGTTATTTTGAAACGGAGTAGCGAACATCCTTAAGGCCAAACAAAAGTATATGTCTGTTTACGGTTACCCGACCGACCGTCCTTTTGAGCGCCGACCCTAAGTCATTTTATTTCCGTCGTAAAAGCAAAAATTAACTGAACTCGTGTCAAAAATGAAGTTTGTGTTGCCAATAATATAAATCAATTGCCTGATACATCCCAATGTTCACAATCGTGAATATGACAGCTGTTATAAGGAAATTCGTGACTCATGTGATGAAATAAACACTTTGCCGCCATTTTTTCCCCAACCAATAACCAAGGGAAATAATCCAATCATTAAAATAACGGGTAAAATTGGCCAAGGATCAACTCAGACCACGACAAGACGAAACAGCATGACTCAAAATCATGTCGCAAAAAATAAAATGAAAAAATAAAATAAAATGGAAATACCGACCTACCTAGCCTTTTTTTTAAAGTATGTAACCTTAAACAGACATATATTTTTTGGGGCCTAAGTAGTGATTTGGTATAGTTTGAAAAGGTCAAATATTAGTATGTCTGTGAAGTTGTCAAACTAAATTAAAGACCCTTTAAACATAAAATTGTCCATATTTTGAGTTATAGCTTATAGATTTTTCTATTATGTTAATATGTCCTGTCCCAAAAGTAGGACACTACACTGTTAAAATCTCTTTTGGATAGAGCCAGCGCAATTTTTTAAATTTGCCTTTTTGCTCATCGTTCCGAAGGAATAGTGCGATTTTGCCATCACTTGGCGTCCGTCGTCGTCTGTTTTTCGTCAACCATTGGCGTTCGTCGGGTGTAAACTATTTCATACATCTTCTCCTCTACTGAACCAATTCCTACCAAACTTAAGCTTAATGATCTTTAGGGTATTTACAATAAAGTTTGTGTTTTGTTACATGGTTGTCATGGCTAAATATGAACATAGGGGTAAATGCAGTTTTTGGCTTTTATCTCAAAACCCAAAGCATTAAGAGCAAATCTGACACAGAGTTAATTGTTCATTAGGTATTCAAAGTTCTATCAGCCCTGAAATTTTCTGATGAATGTAATAACCCATTGTCATGATTGTTGGGTTGCTGTCACTTAATTGGTAATTTCAAGAAATATTTTCAGTTTTTGGTTATTATCTTTAATATTATTAATGATAAAGATAAACTGTAAACAGCAAAAATGTTCAGCAAAGTAAGATCTACAGATAAGTTTCTATAACCAAAATTGTCAATGGACCTCTTAAGGAGTTATTGCACTTTAACGACAATTTTACACAATTTGTTTATCATGTTTTCTAACTTTAAAAAATCTATGAAACTACTGAACCAATTCCAACCAAACTGAGGCTGAATAATCCTTAGGGTATTTAGAATAAAGCTTGTGTTTTATTTTCTGTTTCATCAATAAACATGGCTGCCATGTCTAAAAATAGAACATAGGGGTAAAATGCAGTTTTTGGATTATATCTCAAATACTAAAGCATTTAGAGCAAATCTTATGTGAGGTAAAATTGTTCATTATGTCAAGTTCTATCAGCCATTAAATTTTCAGATGAATCTAACAATCCATTGTTGGGTTGCTGCCACTAGATTGGTAATTTTAAGGAAACTGCAGTTTTTATTTTGTGGTCAAAATATTGGTATGACGTTGACGTTGGCGGCGCCATCGTCGTCCAAAGACACATTGGTTTTCACACTCTAACTTTAGTTGAAGTTAATGGATCTCGATGAAATTTTACCTTAAGGTTCAATACCACAAAAGGAAGGTTGGGATTGATTTTGGGGGTTATGGTATCAACAGTTAAGGAATTAGGGGCCAAAAATAAGCATTTTTGTAACTTCCGGACATAACTTGTGTGTTAGTGTATGGATCTCTCTGACATTGTACCACAATATTCCATATCACAAAGGGAATGCTGGGATTGATTTTGGGGGTAATTACCTCAAAATTTTAGGAATTAGGGGCCAAAAAAAAGGGGTAAAAAACAAGCATTTTTCTAGTTTCATGACAATAACTTGTGTGTAAGTGTATGGATCGTTCTGAAATTGTACTACAAGGTTCCATATCACAGGGGGAAATCTGGAATTGATTTTGGGGGTAATTGCCCAAAATGTTTAGGAATAAGGGGCCAAAAATAAGCATTTTTCTAGTTTCCAGACAATAACTTGTGTTCAAGTGTATGGATCTCTCTGAAATTGTACTGCAAGGTACCATACCACAAAGGGAAGGCTGTGATTGATTTTGGGGGTAATTGCCTCAAAGTGTTAGAAATTAGGGGCAAAAAACAAGCATTTTGCTAGTTTTAGGACAATAACTTGTGTGTAAGTGTATGGATCTTTATGAAATTGTACTACAAGGTTCCATATCACAGGGGGAAAGCTGGGATTGAGTTTGGGGGTAATTGCCCTAAACGTTTAGGAATTTGGGGCCAAAAAGGGGCCAAAAAACAAGCATTTTTCTTGTTTCCAGACAATAACTTTGTGTTCAAGTGTATGGATCTCTCTGAAATTGTACTGCAAGGTACCGTACCACATAGGGAAGGCTGGGATTGAGTTTGGGGGTGATGAATCATAAGGGGGTTCAAAAAATTTGGGGGGATTTTTTTTACTTTTTTTCCTTTTGTTTTCTTTAAAATTTTCCATTTTAAATTGGTTATTTCTGATTTATATATAAAAGCAAATAATAATGATACGGTTTGAATAGGTAAATTAGAAATTTTTAAGTTCTTAGACCACATTCATTTTGTGAGCCTCTTGTTTTAATTGCTTCTGTAAGTAATATATTAATTTGAAATTTTGACGACAGACACATACAGATTATACTGTTAACAATATTTCAGAGTTTAATGTTGTCAAGCACACAAATCATAGAAGAATAGTTAATCACGTCATGTTGTCCATTGAAAAATTAGTATGAACACGATGAAAAAAAAGTACGGGAATGTTTGTTTGTTAAACTATTGACCCTGGTTATGTCTTTGAAACTGTTGACTGGCAAATAGTCTGTGAAATGAAATAGCACAAATATTTCATTCTTTTTTATATCATGGTATATAGAAAAACACATACTGATGTATAATAATAGTTATAGTGACTGTCATTAAATTATAGTTTTTACCTTTTTTAAGTTTAGGGCAAGAAATATAGAAGATAAAGAAAAATATAAACAATTACAACTGTACAGTAGAAATGATCGGCAAAACAAGATAAACATAGACAACAAGGCCTAAATGGTAAGACCACTTCTATATAATAAAAGTGATTGCCCTTGAATGATGACTATTATAAAAATAAGAAGATGTGGTATGGTAAATGAGTTATCTATCCACCAGAGTTCAATGAAGTGGATGCAAGCAATTAAAGACCAATGACGGCCTTCGATAATGAGAAAACCCATACCTTATAAGTCAGCCAATAAAGACCCCAACATGAAAAGATTTAAACAATCCAAATTAGTTCAAAGCCAATAACAAGTAATAAAAAAATCATGTCTGTGAGCACTCCACCTAACCATAATCTAGGACAGTGGTTCAAATAGCACAACATATGAACAAACTGTAAAAACTGTTGCAAGTGGCTCAACTCATTATCACTGCAAGGCACTAAAACGACTGATATTAAGTCGTGGACACAAAGCACTGAAATAACAGAACTCATAATCATGATTAGTAGGAATATCAAATTTAAGTTTCTCAAAATGTTCATATTAAACATGATAAAATAAGCCTATTTCATATTGCTGTTTTTTTCTCAATTTATATTTTGTGTATTTATAGGTGCAGAGACTTCTTGGTTTTCATGATCATCAACAGATCAATACAGAAGAGGAAACTTAAGGTTAATACTTTTCTACATTGTGTGCTAATTGGATTAATGTGAAATGAAATGTGTGCTTACCTGGAAAAAGAAAATAGGAAATTTCTACAAAATGGCTGTAAACAAAATGGAGTACAATCATAGATGCACAAGAACACAATTGTGTAATTGCAACAACCTACACTGAAGGATTAGGGAGAAATGTAGAAAAAATAGTATCTTTTTGTCGAAATAAACACCTGCTTTATCCATTCATGTACATAGCTCTGTCATATCAACTATATAGAGGAAGATGTTTGAAGAACAAATTGCAAAAATGTATTCTCTACCAATTGAAGGAAGATGTCTGGTGGATGGAATTATTTATGCACTGAGCTGTTTTGTAGGGGATTGAATAATTGTACGCAGCAGAAAAGTTAAATTAACATGAAAAGTGGTTATTTTATTTAATCCGCAAATATAAGCACAATATTAATAACATCACAAATAGTATGATATTCATAGCGTTTTGCTTATTATTGTATTGTCTCAAACAGCAAGCCTATTGTTTTTGTATGTCATGTTACTCATCAGTGAACATTTTATTAAAGTTTTAATTATCTTTTGTATCAATTATTCAGTCTCAGGAAAAATTATATTCATACTGTTTTTACTGTTATGAAATTTTCATAGAGGAAAATTGAATAAGAGAAATTTCCATAGAGGAAATTTGGAGAACAATGTTTTCCTTAGAGGAAATTTGTGGTCTTGAATTTTCCCTCAAGGAAAAGTGTTTGTCAAAAATTTCCTCACAGGAAAAAGTATTTCCTCAAAGGAAAATTTGAAGCCGCAAATTTCCTCACAGGAAAAAGTATTTCCTCAGAGGAAATAGAATTTCCTCAAAGGAAAATTTGAAGCCGCAAATTTCCTCACAGGAAATAGAATTTCCTCAAAGGAAATATTAATGCAGCAAATTCCCTAAGGGAAATCTTTTTCCCTTGAGGAAAATACAATTTCCCTTAAGGAAAAATCTTTTTCCTTCACGGAAATTTGATTTCCCTTGAGGAAAACTACTTTTCCTCTGAGGAAATTGTTGAAAAAAGGGGCATAACTTTTTCAACAGTGGTGCTAGAGCCAAAATTTTTTAGGACAAATATCAGGGAACCAATACCAACCAAGTTATCAACTTCATTTTGACTTAACTCCAAAAATTAAGGTGACAACTTTTGCACTCAGCGGAAGGGCAAACTTGTCCCGGAGACTGTTCTGTGTCTAACAATTCTTTGAATGAATTACTATTGTGAACTGATTGATATTTTTCAAATTGCACAGATTCATTCACCCATGGGGACATTAAAAAATGATAGAAGGTGTTTTGCTAAGTCAATGTCGCACATAGTCTTTATTATTAGAGGCAGTACTAGTTTCAATTATTTAAAATATGGTGCATACGTGCTTCCTGGTTATAGTAATTTCGTATTATAAAAATAAGCTAGTAGTTTAAAACATGCGGGAAATCTGCTCATACAGCAGTACCTTTTTACTCAGTCTCTAAGTCCGTATAAAAATACAGATTATTTATTTACGTACAGTCATGTTTTGTACTAATGACATTCAGTATATCTTAAATGAAAAAAAAATAGCTTTTTGAGAGTGGGTCATATTCCATGTAAAATGGTTTTGGATTGATAATTGAAAAAATATGTAAAAGTGCACCAATCTATAGTTTAAGTATACATAACTCTTGGTTTCGAAATGACGTGCAGTTTTCGGCATGCTAACATATATTTTGTTAATACTCTATAACTAGCAAGCACAAATATGTTTGACATGTTCGCACAAATGTTTTACTTTACACTCTTGTGCTCTTTTAATTTTCATTTCATTACCACATATGATTTATACGGTGACCGTAATATTTAACTAGAGTATAGATATATGATCACATTGACTTCTTCCGTGCAAGACTTGCTAAAGGAGTAGGTCCGGTAAGAACCGATGTTGGCCTCAAATTTCAGATTCATCTGACGAAAAACTTTGAACACTTTTTAAACACTTTTAAAAGTGTCTACTTCAATCGATTCAATTAGTTTATGTGAAAGATTTGAACTGATTTAGTCATTAAAGACGCTCAAATTCAAGCTTAAATATGAAAAATCTGTCAAATATGCCATAATATGTCACTTTTCAGATGGTTTTTGTCAAAAATGAAATTGGCCGCATCCGTGTTCACTCTCAACCTTTATATATGTTATGTATTATCATCAAATACAACTTACATTTAAATATTAAGAATGAACACAAATGCGGCCACTTCATTTTAGACGGAAACCGTCTAAAATTTAACTCAAATGCTAAAATTTTGAAGATTTCAGCAATTTAGCATGACTTAATGATGCTAGTACCCGATATATGTGCATTGTATTGTCAAAAACAGGCCATATTAAGGTAAAAGAAGTATTCTACTTTCCAATAAATAGCTTAAAGTTTACATTTTAATAATTTTGTAAAACTGCTATATTTTGGGGCCAAAAAGGGGTCTTACTGGACCTACTCCTGGGTCTTACTGGACCTACTCCTTTGGAGTCCGTTTAGTTGTGCCGGGTGTAAAAACACGCCACGTCTGATCAGTGACGGAACAACAAAACCGATTGTTTCGTAAAGAGAAAGTGACACGCTCTCTGTACGTTATAATTACGGCAACAACTCTTTGAAAGTTCCATAGGTGGGCAGTTGCAAGGTAAAATATATGCTCCTACCCAATAAGCCCTTATATGCAATGGCAGACCGCTCTTCACAGATGTCGGCCTTTCTTGCAAAATCTACCTACTGTTTCCTTATTAAATATTACTTGTCCAGTATACACATGAAAAAGTCTACACTGGACGTTTTGCAAGCAACGATCAATCAACCATGTGTATGGTTCGAAGACGTTTAAAAAAACATTATTTGCAATATTTGATAACCTGAAGGCTTTCAGGAATATTCCACATCGTAATCTCATTTCATTCAATCGCAATTTACACGAGAGGAGGACAGAGACCAGAAAAATGTCCCTTAGCTAAAACATAGGTTATATGTAGATATCATATATGTCAGATATAGGGTGTGGCACGCCTAGTCTCAGAAAAGCTTCAAACTTTGTCAGTTATCAAATTTTTATAGATTGATAACAAAACAAAATGTTCAAATTGTTGATATTGACCATGGTCGCCGTAGCAAAAGATTATTTTAATTTTTCCATCCAAAAATTGCTGCCTTTCCACTATAAAATTAATGAACTTCCGAAATCTATTCCCTTTTAAATACCGCTTTTTTGGTTTAAATGAATGATGTATATCAATATTATTTAATTTGCATACAAAGAGTGAATTTAGACTTACATGTAGCTAAAATTCTATGTTACCCATACATGACCACTGGAGAAATGTTAGGGTCCAACAGCTGTAAGAAATGCCCAATTTAGACAATTTTTGAGTAAAGCAAACCAATGGCAATGCATCCATACTGGAATAGGACATTATACTTTCCAATAAGGAGACATATCCTAGATTCAATATACGCAATAAAATTAGTGGGGGAATTGTTTTCAAGGGTTGTAACCATGGAAACAAAAATGCACATTTGTTTGAGTATGAAAGTCAAAACAAACACTGCATTGCATCTTTTGATTTTCATCTTATTTAGATTAGATAGGAGACGTATAACAAATTAACAAACAAAAGATCTGTTAAAAACTGCAATTTCATGAAATAAACTGTGGGAATTTGTCAGTTTCTTAAATTGAGGGGAAGAACTACCAACAAATATATGTAAAAACAGAAAGAAAATATGCTGACTTACATTCATGTTTAATAAAAATACACAATAGTTTCAAAGAACATGATGTTACCATTAAATAACTCTCACAAAACCGCGAATAATATGTTTATCCTTTTTGTTGGTAAATGCATAAACATGATCTTCAATACTGCTTTACATGACAACAGATTCTGTTAAAAGTTTTTTTTTTATTCTTAGAATTGGGATAATTTGATTTGTAATTTTAAAAGAATAGATGCGCTGTTCACTAATATTTCTCAAATGCAGGATCTACTCAGATCTGGACATGCAGTTGTAAATAATTTTGCTGCAATCTTATTCTTCTTATTGCTGTCTTTTGTTTAGATTTACAAATCCATTGATCAGAAATTGCATTTCAGTTTGGTTACTATGGAAACTCGATGACTTCTGCTAATAAATATCATACTTTAGAAATCATTTTTTTAAAACTAAATTTAACTTCAATTTTCCCTTATCTATTTTTGAAAAAAATGTTTTGTTTTTTAATGTGGAGTTAGATCTTGTCTCAAATGTATTACTATACTACAATTACTTTTTCTAAATCACTTTGTTGTATAGATTGTTGGATTTGATTGGTTACACAGTGTAAGATCCACAATCTGAATGCGGTAACTACGGTTATTCTTTAAAGGACGCAAGGAAAAGCCATCTTGGATTCCAATATGTCGTGTTTCCCAATCAATGCGCAAAATAAATAAAACTGCCCGGATAACTTCTCAATTAAAAACATAAACGTCAAATGTTAACCTTTAGCACTGGAAGTGCTCCTATAAAATCATTATGTTGCTATGACTATGACCTGTATGTGCCACAGGAGTCAACAACATTTCATAGAATTAAGGTTTTGGCAAGTTTTGTCGAAATAAAAAACAAAACAAGATATTATGTTTAGTATTCCATAAGAATGGAGACAACTGCATTGTAGTTTATGCTTTGCGGACATAAAAAATATAAAATTGATCCGTATTCTCGATTTTCAATCCATGATTTGACTTTGACTTTGAACTTTAACCCTTCAGATACATTTCCGGAAGGTGATTTGTCACTGAGATTACGTCATTTTGACTCCAAAAGACTTATTTGACCTTTAAAATTGATATGGCTGAAGGTCGAAATATCTCAAAATGTCATTGTCCCAATTAATACTGAATTTCACAGCAACATCTAAAATGCATGTACGAAGGGTATGTGTCCCGCTATTCGGACATCATTAGTATTATTTTTGAAATTATAATAACAGATTGTTGAGGATGTTCGCTGATCTGATTAAAAAATTACTAGCTTTTAAAAAGTCTGTTATAAATTGATGGAAACAATAAAAGTTTCATGTCCTTTTTTGAAGATATAAGCCATTGACAATTTGTCAGAAAACAGTGCTATAGATAGTTTATATTTTCAACATTGACAATTTTTTTTTTACAAAATGTATGAAAAAGTTACAATGATTTTATAAGATTTCAAACAATTCTTTTTAAACTATATATAATCAAATAATGGAAAAAGTATGAATTAGTGGAAACACTATTTATTGGCACCACACTGAAACAAAAACGTCAAAAGGGAGGTCGGTGAACATTTTTATCAATCTTTAAATAAGTAGTGTTTTTTTTTAAATAATCATAATAATGTTCAGCTATCAACAATAATGACACAAGATCACGTCTTTGAAACCGAGATAACCGATTAATAATCCGATATCACGGAGTGAGAATCCGAGATCATCGATTGGGAAACCGATATCAAGGATTGGAAGCCGAGATTACGGATTACAAATCCAAG